GAGTTGTTTATTTATATCCTGTCTTTACTGCTTATACAAAACAACTCAATGGGGTGAATATATCCAACACACTTCCTCCTACAACCCTGTGAGGTGAGTTGGGATGAGAGAGAACTGGCCCATTGTCATCAGGGCTTGAATTGACGGACTTGAACTCATGGTCTCTTGCTTTCTAGCCTGGTACCATTAGACCAAACTGGCTCTAAGACAACTTGCAAAGCCGTAGTATTAGATTACCATTAAACTCCTTTTGAGAAGTACCTCTGTTTTCAAAGAGTATATAAGTGAAAAATAGATTAGTACAGTATGAAGTAAGTTTGAAATGGACTTTTTTTTTTTTACAATGAAGAAAAATAAACACCATTTCAGTATTTGTAACTAACTGAATACTTCCATAAAAGAGATTCTTTTGAATCATTGTGATATGAATAATGAAGGATAAGAACTAGGTCTTCATTATAATTTGGACACCATATGAATATACTCTAATATAAAGCAACCACCAGTATTTATAATTACAGTTTAATCCTTCTCACAACATTAGTTCTTTGCCACAGCAATCCACTAAATCTAACAGCTGTTGTCCCACCAAGTGGAAGTACCTGTGTGATCTTATTAGGCTCAAACGCTAAGCAGAAGCTAAGCAGAATCAGTCCTGGTTAGTATTTGGAGGGGGAAAGTACAGGGTTGTTGGTTAATCCGAGAAGTAGAAAAACGATTCTGAAAGAATATATTTCTGTATTGCATGAATATGCCTGTGAAGTCATCTGGGGGCAAACTTCATTCAATGTAGCCTTTATATTACCTTTCACTAGTAAAATCTGAAGTGCGGTCCAGGAGTACAATGAACAAATAAGAAATATATTTATACAAAGGTCATAATTTGTATTGGTGAGTATATTACTCACTTTGGAGCTGATTTAAAATCCCTCAAGTTAACATTATATTGCTGAGCTAAGGCCAAAGCACATTTGCTAGTTCTTTCTTATTTTAATAGGATTATTATTAATTTGTTTTGCCTTCACAAAATGAGCACATATAAGAATGGCAGTAAGATCAAAAATGAACATGCAAGATGAAGGAAAAAGATATGCCAATGGAAGGAAAGGTTGTTATTCAGGGTTTGACACCTTTTTCATCAGTACGATAATTAGTCAAGAATAACTGCATAGAAACAACTGTGCAAATATAGAATAAATTATTTATGAAGTGGTAGGCATTTATTATTGTAATTTCAGTGCCATTAGGATGTATACGTCTAACTACCAATTGCAATTAATGAATACATTAAGGCCCCTCCAATAGGCAAATCCCAGTGTCATATTCTGCAAAGGGGTATTTTTCAGTTTTGAATTCATCGTTACTAAAAGTTGCCATGCTTATTCATGGTTTCAACATTATTGGGAAAAGTGTAATTCTGTAATATAAGGCTGTCAATTTTTTTTTAAATAATGCACCAATACTAACCCTGGAGATACTACCCAGATCTGGATTTGGTTATGGCATACTAGAAAAAGGTAAGTCTGAAGGAGACCCTATAGGCTTTTCATCTGGGCCTTAGGTGCTCCATTTTCAGACCAAAGAAACAGCATGCCGGCTTCATGCCTTGATGATTTATATGCCTCTAGTTAAGGACTATTATATTCTGCTGTTTATTCTACTCTAATGACTGAGAGTTGTAAGAAAGTTGCTGATTCAGAAAAGAAGTGTGTGGGCACCAGAGAGAGAATTTTAAATGCAAACAAACAAATTCCATGCAGGAGAGCGAGGGGGGAAGGGAGAAGGAGAGAAAGAGGGAGGGAGAGAAGGAGGGAGGGAGGGAGAGGGAGAGGGAGAGGGAGAGAGAGAGAAATAATATGTGTATGTGCGTAAATATTTCAGTTGACATTTGGTGAAATCAAAATAGCAGGCACCAAATGTATTCTGAAATTGGAAAAGAAGGCTTTCTGTCCTGAGGGAGGGTTGATCCTCCCAGCTGTAGTCTTTAGTGAAAGACACTTGTCTCCAGAGATGTTTAAGTAATCACACACCTCAGGGTTCAGGTGTAATGCAGTTTGGAAACAGCCTTGCTTCAGCTTTCGAAGTAGCATGGATCTGAAGTGTGCATAAACCTTTATAAATCATGACATACTCAAAGACAATGAAAATAGCACAGAGAGAGAGACACAAATGAGAAAGATCGAGGCAGCATGACAAAAGCAGAAGGTTTATTATTTGCACAAAGACAGAGATGCTAATACAGACAGAATGTGGTAAAAGGACACAGATGTACAAATTTATGAATTTGGAGGATGGACTTGATAATCAAGGTGTTAGGAGGAGTCATTTCCATGACTGCAGGAATTAATGGGTTTAGCGGCATGTATATAGGGAATAAGATTTTTTTAAAAAAATTATATGGGGTTTTTTTTTTGCATTTAGCTGAAAACCCCTCAGAGTCACTCTGAGAATGAGGTGATATCTAAATTTTAAGATCAAATAAACAAATATGAAGTGATTTTTGCTGTTAGTGATTTTAATGATACATTCTAAATATATATTTGCACCCTAGTATCTGATCCCACAGTCTCAAAATACATTTTGAGGAGGGGAATATATACATGATGTCTTGTTTATTCTGCAGAATTTTTCATTTTCGTTTTTATATTGTAGAAGATATCTTTGAGAGCAATCATTCTTACAAATTCTATAGTTTTCCCATATTCCAAACCTATGAAATAATTTATTATTGGAACATCATTAGTGTTGCTTAGATATTTTCTTTTTTTTCTGTTTTGACAAAATACACAAAAAGATTATGTACAGCAATCAGAACTGTCCACCATAATATAATATTAGTAAAATATTTTTCTTTTATGTCACTTAACACAGTGCTATAGCTATTTTCAGTATGAAACAAATAAAACATATTTATTCAGACTATTCTGTGTCAGAATAAAAGCCCCTTTTAAAATACAGGTAGCCATACATTATTTTTTTCCTTTATATCACATGGTTAATGAACTGAATATTAAGTTCATTCATTCTGCATTCATTCTATGTCATTATCAATTCACTTTCCAATTAAGATGGTAATGCTAGATACCATCCATCCATTTCTCCATCCATTTCTCCATCCATCCATCCATCCATCCATCCATCCATCCATCTATCCATGGAGATGAAAGGACACCTACAGTGATAAATAAGGGCTGTACCTCAGTACAAGTACAAACACTGGTGCAGTGTTTAGAATGCAGTACTGCGGGCAAATCACAGCTCACTCCAGGAGTTGGATCTGAATAGCTCAAGATTGACTCAGTCTTCCATCCTTCTGACGTCAGTAAAATGAGGACCCAGATTGTTAGGGGCAATATACTGATTCTGTAAACTGAGTAGAGAGGGCTGTAAAACACGATGAAGCTATGTAAGTCTAAATGCTATTGCTACAAGCCCAACTTTGAAGCAGCAATACAGGAAGTGGGTGGGCCAGGCTCATATTAAATCTTAGAAAGACAAAGTAACTGTTTATTCATAAATCATCTGAACCTAAAGTGACGCCATTACTAGGTCAATCTGGAACAGCAATTTTCTGAAGTGAGTGCTTTAACTTCACAGGAGCATCCATAATTGATTTCATTATGGTCTGAGTTCAGTGTGTAATTTAAAATGTAATTGGTGTGGATGAACCGGAAAATAGGAAATCATATAAATCCAATAGAGATTATGTCTAATACATGGGCAGATCACAATCCTTTGAAAATAATTTGGAAAGGCCAAAAGAAAAAAAAATAGAAGATAGACATTAAACACACAGATTTTGAAAGAAAAACAGTATATCCAACTGATTAAAAAAGAAATGGAACTATTCATCAAAGAGAATAAGAATCAATACACAACATTACAGAATTTATGGGATACCACTAAAGCATACCTACGCAGAATAACAGTAGCGTATACAGCCCAAAGAAATAAAGAAAAATGGAAAAAAACAAAACAAAACTATCTGCTCTCAATGACATCACTCTAACAAATGTCTGGATTGCAGAAAGAAAAAGAGGTTTTAAGAATACTGAAACAAAGGGATTCTAATTAAAGAATGCATGTGTACAATATATCTGAAGTCATATAGAGGCGTGCTTCCATCCAATCAGACATTATATGCATGCACACACATGTGCACAAATTAAGACATTTAAGATCAGTGATAACATTTTAAAAGTCAGAAATACAAGTTGGTGATTTCCAAGTATTGGAAGAAAATGACCACATTAAAAAAAAGGGAAGAGAATAAATAGCCTCTTGATGCTCAAACTGCAAAATGTAAAAGAAAACAAAGCTAACTTAAATTGGATTTAATGCAGTAAACAGAAATCAAAATTAATTTCCCTATTCTGACACAATTTTCCCTTTCTATCATTAAAATTACAGTTTGGCAGCAACATTTGGAAGGGCTCCAGATACAATCCTCAATGCATTGGGGGCACTCTATATAACTCTGAAGCTGTAGGCTGCAACCCCTGTTTTAAAGTCAAAGATGTTTGTTTTTGCATCTTACAACACTAAGGGAGGAGACAGGATAAAAACCAGACTACTGAACAAATCCGAACTAGAAGACATTATCAGCAAGTGAAAATGGAGATCTGTTTTTGGAACCTTTTCCTTCCTTCTCTATCACTTTAAAAGTATCAAGAATCACAAATCTGTCTCACAGTCTCTGTGTTTACCATTGCAATAACAACTCCAAATCATTGCAATGACAGACTTTACATCTATCTGAAATATTGCAAAACATGGTTAGAAGTTTTGGATTTGTTGTTATTTTTACTTTCACTTTGGGCAAGATATCTTCTGCTGTGTTTTGATGGCTTTAAAATAACACGGGAGGAATTTCGCTGCTAATCATCTGGTTCACCCCATTCCACAGCTGGGTCATCATCCATGCGCAGAATGAGGTAAGAAAGTAGTTGAAAAAGATTCTGCCACAACAAGAGAGAGACAAAAAAGGAGATGTCGCTTACATCTATCTCACAGCGATCACCAGCATAATTCACATCACAGATACAGTAAAATTTGTTGAACTGGTTCTGGCAAAGGCCCCCATTGAGGCATGGATTAGAGTTGCATTCATTGATGTCCACTTCACATCTGCAAAGCAAACATTAGATTAGTATTTAGGCCAACTGTTCTAAGAGAAAACAAAGGGAAAGAAATTTGGCTTTCTGTTTTCAAGGGCTCTGAAATGGCTTAAGCCATGTTTCCTCAACCTGATTTCTTCCAGATTTAAAGGACTTCACCTCCTGTTATCTCAAGTCATCAAGGTCCATGCTGGGTATTATGAGTATCAAAGTATAAAACATCTCAAGGCAGAAAGTGGGTTAACATTGATCTTCTTTGGAGTTCAAGATTAATAGTTTCCTTAAATGAGACTAATGCTTCCTGGAGATGGGCTTGATCACAATATCTTCCAACCTTTTTGAAGTTATAGCATTTTGTAACTGACACAATCTTAGTTCAATCATGAACTAAGTTTCTTCGTGCCAGCACTTTTATTTTATTTTTTTTAAATGATCCCACCTTATACAAAATAGCTTTTTAATGTGAAACTTTCATGTTGGAGTGAGTCCTTCACAACACATTTACGTGGATTCTATTTTGTTTTTTTCACTGCTTCTGCAATTGATGATATATTACTGTAGTAAACCAACCTAATATTTCTGCCAAGCCCAGTGTTTGTTGAATTATATTGTTATAATAACAGCTAATACATGGCATTATGCAGCTGCATGAAAAAATTATACATTCATTCTCAAATCAGTTATGACACATCAAAAGGTCTTACTGTAACCCTGCAAAGCCTGCGAGGCACATGCACTCTAAGCGTCCTTCAAACTCAGTACAGTTGCCATAATTGTAACAGGTGATATTTCTGTTCTCATTCCCACACAGTGTTGAAGGCATTCGTATGTGTCTATAGTGGGGGGAAAAACAAGTCTGTAATAATATTCCAATATTCTTTCAAAGTATATCTATTTTTAATATATTAAAACCCTGATATGAAATCTACCGAGTCTTCTCTTGGATTTATATAAAACTAAATAGAGGTGATTACTTCCAACTAATCAGATACCAAATATATAAATAGGAGACCTCTTGGGGTCTTGGGCACTTCTTTTCTAGAGTGGGAGATGGAATGGGACAACTCACCACAGCCAACTCATCATGATCAACTTGCTGTGATACAACACACTGTGGGACAATTTAACAATTTTATTTAATTAATTAAAGTAAATACAAATATTTTAATTTTGGCCATTCACATTTCATTCTGTCTCTTCTTTTACATCCTTTCTCAAAGATTCTATTCCACTATTTCTTTGATATTAGTGTAACTCTTGTCCTGCGGTGAATTGGCTGTGGCTAGTTGTCCTGCAGTGAGTTGGCCATGGCAAGTTGGCCATGGCAAGTTGGCTGTGGCGAATTGTCATAGACCAGTGGGAAAGGTGAGTTGGAAGAAGGACTAACCCAAATAAAGTGAGTGGCTATTTTTAGGAAGTGTCTCACTGAAATTAATGTATCTTCTTTTTAGGTTTTCATGGAAGACTGAAAATAATGGGTTGCTTAAAATGAAGAGCAGAGAGGTATAGTGCTTTTTTGGGCGGGGAAGGTTGGTGTAAAATGGTGTCCCACTACATTCTTCCTAGTCCAATTTCTCAGCCTAATCTAAAGCTCTGGAATTCTTTAATGGTCTCTCATCTAACAACTAACCAGGTCTGTGAAGAGCGTGTTTTAAAATTTCTTTCAACCTTCCCTGAATTCCAAAATACTAATTTTCCCTATTGTTTCTGCTACATAATCCAAAGACTGTACTTCCAAATTCCCACACTTCCCAAATGTTGGGTTATGAGCCGCTTGCATATGTATTCTCATAAGAGGAGGAAAAATTCTGCCAGGAAAAATTTCCACACAACCCCCATCACCCATTTTTTGTGATATATTTGTTTAAGATTATTCTTTTGATAGTGTATTTAATTGTTATCTGCCAAGACCGATTATTTATTTATTTTATTTAAGAAAATTTATTTGGCTACCCAACTCACTCTTGGGGACAAGGATATCCTCCCCAAATGAAGATATTGGTAAAAAATGGGGGCGGGGGACACAAAATAATTTGTATAATTTACACAAAACCCTAATAGCACAAACAAGTCTAAATCACTAAACAAAGAAAAGGAAACTAAACAGGTCAGAAATATATTTTTGGAAAAGTTTTAAATAGCTGTTTGCATTTTAGATAACGCATTAAATGTAACATTAAGTCTCAATAGTTATTTGTTTGTCAATGAAGAGCCTTTTGAGGGCGGGGGCTATTTTGAGTTCTGGAGTCTCAATGTGGATACTTATTTCTTTCCTCCTCTCCCCATTTTTGGCTACTTCCCCATGGCAAATGAACTGCAGTTATTAAGGGCATGTGAAATGTAGAAAGAGGGGAAAAGTTACAAGCCACTCCACTTTGTATGTTAAAAACCTTCTTTGCCACACCTTCCTTTCTTTGAGTAAGTACTGACTCTTAGATACTGCCTGGACAGGTCTCTGCACTTGCCTCCTTCCTAGGGCTGAGAGAGAGTAACTGGCCCAAAATTACCAAGCTGGCTTTGTGTCTTAAGAACAAGACTAGAGCAATTTCCCAGTTCCTGATCTCATGCCTTAACCGCTACATCAAACTGGATCTCTAACTACTCCTAGTGGATTACTATCTTTATCATCGCTTTGTTACCGTACCTGCAAAATCTTCCAGTGAAATTCCCAGTGCAGAGGCATGAATAGCCATTAATGCCATCTACACACGTGGCGCCATTTCCACAGAGATGTCCAAAACAGTCGTCTATGTCTTCTTCACACCTAGTTCCTCTGTATCCAGGATCGCATACACACTTGTAAGCTGATATCCCATCACTGCAATTTCCATGGAGACAAGGGTTTGAGGAGCATTCATCAACACTGAATTCACACCGAGATCCAGTCCATCCTTTGGCACATGTGCAGTGAAAATAGCTGTAAAAATCTTCACAAAGCCCGCCATTCAAGCAAGGATTTGAGTGGCAGGCATCCAGCTTAAGGCATCCAGTGACAACAGAATTGGCAGAGATCTTGAGAAATTGCTCTTCTTGTGGCTTTTTAGTATTGTCAAAGTAAGAGAGATGAATTCCACCAATCTCCACAGTGCTCATGCACCCTCTCAGTCCATCTTTTTTATCAAAAGCTTTGTCAGCCAGATAGATATCTGTGCCTTCTCTTAGGAAGTTAAGGTTTCCAGTGGCAACAGTACTCATGGCATGGTCTCTCTCATCATTTATATCAATACGCCATCTTGATGAGTGAGAGAGTGGCTCTGTCATAGAGTAGGTGACCTTGTGCCACTTCCCATCATTCACAGATAGGAAACTAGCCAGGCTCAATGTAAAAAAAGTATTACCACTCTGCAGCTGAAACAACAATTTGGTATCCTGAATACTGATAGAGAAGAATTCTGGCTCCTTCTCGGCATAAAGTAGTATGACATCTGAGTCTTGAGTCCGAAAACCAAAGGTTATATTAGTGAGGTCTCTCCTGATCTTCCCATTGCTTCTATAAAAGATGGCACTGCTTCTGCCATTAAAAATGGCATTGGAGATACCTGAGCAGAGATGGGAGAAATCAAGTTCTATAAAAGATGGCATAAGGCTAGTGCTATCATCTCTATATATTTGTGGGAGAATCCACGTTGCATAAAACCAAAAGTGCTTAGCGATAAAAAAAAAAAAAGCACACTTATGTGAATCTTAAGAATTAGAGAATTGATTATTTGCTCCCTATTGTCTAAAATATTGATAGCCGATAATTATTAGTCCCTTAATTTGTAGTGATTGGTGACTTTGTAATGATTGGTGTGACCATAGCGCTGAAAAAATTTGTTAAAACTTTAAGAAATCTGCAATTAATTAACATGAAAATGCACATCTGAAATAATTTTCCAGAAGAGAAGAGGACATTTGAGGTCAGTATAAAGGTTTAATCTGATCTCACTGTATCCTCAAAGGACAGTGGTACTGAATTAGCACTGTGCTGTTTTTAGAACTATCTTAGCGCCAGCTAAATGATCTGGGTTGCAAAACTGTAGATAAATCACAACATCACAACAAAGAATTGGATTTTTCTGGATCCCTTTGCTACCCCATAAATATTCAACTAGTTTTATCTGCCCACATATATTAGTACTACCTTGAATAGATTCTGAACAGTCAAAAGGCAACATTCTGTTAGCTAAGCATTTCCCTTCCACTTTCCCCCCTCTTAATGATGCAAGTAGAGTGATATAATTAGATAGCTGAAAATTTGTGGCTTTCTGAGAAAGGAGAGTTGGCCTTGGTCGTTCTGCTTAGCAGTCTCATGTATTCTTATTCTGTCCTGATGGTACATGATTTTATGGGCTTCAAATCTTAGTGGCATTAAGGATATTTGGCAATTTACGAGGAGAAAAAAACCTCTGCAAAATTAATCATTCCATTCTCTCCCCATCTTTACTCCTTCTTCAAAATACAGAACACACATAAAGTAGATAGACATGCCTCTAGATCATTTCAGATTTGTAGCAGCAGGGATGTCTGATTCCTGATCATTTAACACAATAACAGTGTGTCCTAAATTATACTGCTAAAACAAGGAGAATTTGGGCAACCCGAAATTGATTCTCTATTGTTATGTTTGTGTATTGTCTATTTTGATGAATCTTGGGGTCTAAAAAAATAGCACATCTCTGAAACCACAATCTTGCCTTGGAGAGAAGGATTGGAATTTATTCATGCCACCTTCTCCTGCCTCCTATCTAACCATGCAAATGTGCATTTCTATACACTATGCAAAGCTATTGACTCCCTGCAATTTTCTTCTTAATGTGTTATTACTGCAGAATGCAAGCCACCATTGTCTTATATGCATACTGGAGCTCCTATTCTTTTTAAGGATTTACTATGACTTTCAGAATAATGGATCTATATACAATTAAGTGGCAACATTTGACACTGAAATTTCCATTAGAGACACTCAGGTAAATTCCTCTGTGTGTTAAAAGCAAGAGAAGTCTGGCAACAGCAAGGCAGAGGACCCACGGGAGGCTGTTCCCAGTACGCGTATGCGTAGAGCTGCTAGAAGGTGAGAGCAACTGAAACAAAAGGGGCGACTCAGGAGTAAGGCTGGGAGGTGATTGCCCCTCCCATCAGGTATAAAGGACCGGCAAAGATGACGAAACCTTTGCAGGAAGCAAAGTAGTTTGTTCAGTTCAGATTCATTCTTGAAGCTCTTTGTTCTTCGATTGGGTTTTTTTTTCTAGTTCATTTTATACTTCCATTATTGGCAGCACTTCACAGAAAAGAAAGGTGGGTGCTTATCTTGAGGGACTGTTTGAGATTAATTCTGGCTGGGAATGAAAACAATTCCCAGCATTGCAATAAAATAAGTCTTGTTTTTAAAGTAAGCGTGTGCATAGTTATGGTCTAGGGAGCCTTGGTCAGAACAGTATCTGCCTCTCAAACTGCACTCTACTGTGCTCACTTTTGGAGCGTACGATCCTTAGCATCTCATTCAAGGCCTTGTGTGATCAGCCTCAGCTGATCAAAATTGCCTATTTGAGGTCTTCTGTTTTTTAAATTACTGGTTATTTACTTATTTATTTATTTGTCAAAAGCTTACGATATAACAGAAACAAGAATAAACATAAGTTTAAATACAAGAAACAGGAACTAATAATTGGAGACAATAGGACAGGCACGGTAGGCACGATTGTGTGCTTATGCACCCTCCCCTACAGACCTCTTTGGAATGGGGTGAAGTCAATAGAGAATAGTTTGAGGGTAAAGGAGTGGGGCTTTGAGCAGGTGATGACAGAATCAGGTAGTGAGTTCCAGACATTGACCACTCTGTTGCTGAAATTGTACTTCCTGCAATTGAGTTTGGAATGGTTTACATTTAGTTTATATCTGTTGTGTGCTCTTGTGTTGTTGTGGTTAAAGCTGAAATATTCATTAACTGGTAAGATGTTGTAACATATGATTTTATGTGCTAGGCTTAAGTCCAATCAGTCGGCGTAGTTCAAGGTTATCTAAGCCTAGAATCTCAAGTCTAGTGCTGTAGGGTATTCTGTTGCGAACAGAGGAATGGTAAAATGCTTCTGGACTCGCTCAATTGTATTTATATCTGATATACAGTGCGGATTCCAGACAGCAGAGCTGAATTCAAATATTGGTCTAGCAAAGGTTTTGAATGCCCTAGTTTGCAAATCAGTATTACCAGAGGAGAAGCTTCGTAAAATTAAATTTACAACTCTTAGTGCCTTTTTGGCAATGCTGTTGCAGTGAGCTTTGGCACTTAGGTCATTCGATATGAGAACTCCAAGGCCCTTGACAGAGTGAGGCTCATCAACAAGGTCATATCCGCCTAGCTTGTATTTGGTGTATTGATTTTTTTTTTTTAACCAATGTTTAGGACAGAACATTTGTCATGACAGTTGGAATCATTGGTTGCCAATAATTAGGCAACCAAAATAAGAGAATAACATAGTTGTGAGAGGCCTTGGGGATTTTCTAGTCCAATCCCCTGCTATAGCAGGAAACCCAATAACATTTCAGACATATGGTAAACCAAACATAGCAAAAAAAGGAGATCACCCATTTTACTGTGAAAGGATGGCAGAAAAAAAAAAAGCTGTTGCTCTGTTACCTTAATTTGCAAAAGGGAATACAAATAATGGAGGAAGCTGAAATACTTGCATTCAAATCCTTGATACACCGGCAGACATTGGGCTTCAGGAGGGCAAGGACTGAAGTCACACCATTTCACTTCTTCACAAGCTTTCCCAGCCATATTTGGTGGACAAGTACAAGTGAAGTCATCCCAGATTGAATAGCAAACACCGCCGTTCTGGCATGGAGCGGACTAAAAAGGAAAAAAAAAATGGGAATGAAAAGTGAGCAAAGTTTTCTGTTTTCCCAATCAATTGAAAAGAGCCCTGGGGAAGAAAGAATCTGCCTTTCTCCTGGCTTCCACTCAATGCCACTAGTGGCAGTTAGTCTTGTTTTATTTTTCATATATATATTTAATCAGGGATGCATCAGGTCTGGCCTTCCAGATGTTGAGTAACTTTATCATCAGGATGGCCGATGGACTGAAGAAAATTTTCCATCCCACATTTTGCAGGCCATATGTTATCCATTTCTTTTACACAACGATTAGAGTGGAGCCGGCAGCCACCCTGGCCTATTTATCTGTTTTGCAAAGCAAGCAAACCCAATAAAAAAGTGGTGGCTTTAATCCATTGGCAAAATACTTGCTTCGAATGTCAAAAAATTCTCAGTTAATTTCCTGACCTGACCAGCTAAAGTATCTTAGGTAGCAGAGTTAGTGAAGACCTCTGATTTCACCCTCAACTGGGAAATAGACAGGAAGCAAGAAATCTGAGATCGAGGCTTTCAACTTCTCTGCCTTTCAAACAACCACGAGGGGGGAGGGGATGCTCCAGTTTTTATGAGAATAGTGGTACTGTGAGAGAGGAAGTTCAATCTTCTGTACTACTTTCTCTAGATCTAAATTTGATCCTAAGGCTGCTAGGAGACCCATTTGGGAGTTGTTGTGTGGGGAGCATAAGTAACATTTTTGGGCCTGCATTTCTTTTCCTGCTCTGAGCTAATAATTCAGGGGAGGGAGAAGTGATTAGACCAAAAAGCAAAGAGAATGGAGGGAGGAAAATAGATATTAACCTTTCTCTTGCTACTTCCCACAACACATAGGTCTCCACCCCCGTGGATGGTTTTATTATTACTGTTTTCAAATGGAAAAAAAAATAGTGTCCCATGTCAACACAGACAATACTGGTAATAACAGTTTTGCCTATTATAAAGGCACTCTATTGTATAGAAAACAGCTCTAACCAGCTATTATTATTTTTTTAACCTAATTGTAGAAATGCTTCTTCTTTGGGGGATTTTGTTTTGTCTTTGAACTGCCGACAAATTGAAGAGAAGGCAAACAGAAAACTAGTAAACAAGAGCAAGATGTTTGAATATGTGTAATTTTAAAGTCTTGCTTTTATTTGATTTTTTTGTATTTTTATACAATTTTATTAACTTCCTTGTTCATTCAGCTGTACAAAAAAAAAAACAAGTTTCAACTGAATGCCTGCTTGCCTGCGCGGATGCATAATTAAATGGATGTAAAGGATGGAGGAAAGCAAAGAGACCAGGTTGAAGGGGAAAATAACTTAGGACTTCTCAAGTCAGAGGAACTGTCAGGCTATAAAGTTGTGAAGTATGAATGAAAAGTAGATCCTGTCTACTTTTTTTAAAAATATATGTTTTATTACTTTTGCCTTGAGCTGGCTTCTGTTCACCACTTAATGGTTCTGACATGAAGTAGCACATGTATGTAAGCCCTCATAGAACCAAAATTACAAATGGTATGCTTGTCAAAGGACTCCATTAACACATTCAGAGTATTCCCAGACCTACTATTTCTCTCATAATTTGAAGAAATTGAGAATTGTAGCTACTTCTGCAGGCCTAGAAATACTAAGAACCCACTAGGAACACTAGGAAGCAATCCATGCTCATCTTCCAGCCGAATACTGGAAAAGTAAAATTTAATCAGTCTCCCAATTCCCTGAACTCTTGCAGGTCCTGGAGCAACAAAAATCCTTTCCACCATTGCATATAAAAATAAAATAAATTGCCTTTCTTTTTTTACACCATGTATTCAGCTCCATTTGTCTGATTTCCGTAAAAAAGAAAAAGAAACAAATTCTTAATAGTTACTGTTAAGGGACCCGAATGCCATTCCTATTGCGTTAAAATGCTTCTTTTAAGTTGTGAAGAGAAATAATAGCTTGTCAGCATTTTTTTTGTAACCACATGTTTCCCCCCATAGTATAAACTATGGCTGCATCTTGCTTGAGCCTGGAATGGTAGGAGAAGCAAAAATGTCTATAAATAGGGACCAGATCTGCTTCTGAATTACTGTAAAACCCTTAGATTGAAGTCTCCTCAGCTGGCACTTGTGAGGGGAAGAAAATAATAATGAGAAAGCACAAAGTATTGGTGAGCACTAGTCATAGCATTTGAAAGCAGCAGAAACCATGTAATAGAGAAGCACAGAAAGATAGTGGCTTAGACAAGGGTTAGGCATGCTGTGAGTTCAGTTGTTATTCCTCTGGAAGGCTTCAAATGGCAAGGAGAAGTGAAAATGAAGAAGGAATGTCATCTTTTCCTGAAAAAAAAAATAGTGGTATAATTTAAAAGTTGAAAACAGGGCAAACTCTTGAGGAGAAAATCAGGCAAGCTTATAAGGAAATCATCAAAATATCCCTAAATGTTTGAGATTTAAATGAATAGCTGCTTAATGTGAAACATACATCGTATAAACACAGAATCCACAACATAATATATTCCATAAGCCTGTACATTCCCTTGCATATAATTCATGGATAATAGTTTTTTTTTAGGATGCCGTGTTTTATAAAGTGTTAAAAGTTGTGAGGTTTTTTGATACGTCTAATCCATTTTTGGCTACTTTTATATTTCTTCAGCAATACAACATTCACTTCTTGTTTAACATTTTATGAATCTTGATGCCAGGTCTAAATGCCTGTAACATGCCCCATGATTAGCTTGTTCTGTAAAGGGTGGTTTTAAAGTAATTATGAGAATATTTTGGTTTGGGAACTACAGTGAGTTCAAGTTGCTCTTAATGAACAGCAGCTTTGCCTACTGGTTGTCATTACTGAGAGATTTAAGAGCTGCCCTTCCAGTCTACTAGACACTTTGTGGTATCATGGCCCACAAACTGAAAAAAAGTTTGGCAAAATCTGATCTTACCCACCTCTTTCACAGACAGCCTTGAGATATTCCTACTGTAATGACCCGAGGTGTGGCACAAAAATAACAAAGTCACCAAAGTAGATAAATTCCCTTTAATGCCTCCAACTTGGCCCCCAATGTCCAGTTATCCTCGGCTGGAGATCAAACTCTTTCAAAAACAGTCTATGAAGTGAAGAAATGCAGTCCGAATCCAAAGTAAAGATAATTAGAAATTAAAAAAAAACCCAACACAAACCACGCTGAAGATAACGCAGCACCCACAGTTGGGAGGACGCCAAAACCCAGATAAGCCTCGACAAAGATAATGCACGCTTTGCTTCCAGCAACTTTGCCATGTGCAATTTGCCCTTTTAAACAGTCTTCCCAGCTGCAGCCCATGAAGGGGATCAGGGCCCTTTCCTCTCCCATAAGCCACATTGCTCCTTTCTCCGTTCCTCCCTGCATGCCCTAGGATGAAGAAGGGATGGCCCTGGGTCTTCCTCTGAATGCCCAGCCAGACTGTGCCCTTCCCCCATTTCTTCCACAGCCACCGGATCCACACTCCCACTCCCTGTCAGCTGCTCAATCTCACCCTCAGAATCAGACTCCAACAAGGGCATGACACCTACTGTCACACGTTGCTTAGGAACCCTACCAGGTCAAAGGGAAATTCTTTTTAATCATGGGAATAGAATGTTTAAAAAACGGTTCCTTACCTTGCAGAGGTCCTCTCCAATGCATCCTGCAACTACATTGATCAGGGTGCTTTTGCTGCTGACAGAATTCAGCGAAGTAGTGAGTGGGTAAAATTCAAGTGGGTGGTTGCCAAGTCTTAAATCTTGAATGCAGCCTTTGAAAAAGCCACCATTTAAAATGGTTTCTTGCTTGTCTGGTAATCCACCAATGTAGAGAACATCCCTTCTGTGTATTTTTCTTAAGGATGTAGAAACAGAGCCCAACCTTTTTGATGATTGGAACAAGTCCATCGTATTTGGCCCCATTTTTAAAGAAATGAAATAGAAATTTCCATCGTTCATAATCTGCATACTTAAGAATTTGTTGGAGTGTGGACCTGACATTGCAAGTTTCCCATCTTCTAGCCAGACCTTGAGAAATAGGGATGTGTTTCTTTCTAGACCCAATAAGAAGCCAAAAAGCTTGCGTGTTCGCACAAACATTGATATTGTGACATTTTCATGACTTTCTTCTATGGAAAAAGCAGCATACCCAGTGGTTTCCTCATGACCAAATCTTCCTGGAATGTATTCTTTCTTTCACATGAGAAAAAGAGAGAAAGTAATAATCTCTTTGAATATAAATAACGCTATTTGAGTATTAACATATCATAGATCAGCAATACCCAGCCCTGAATTTAAACTTAATATTTGACACTAATTATACTTTTAGTGGTAAAATAAAAATGAGCTTCTGTACCTGATTTTAGAGTAATGACCTGTTGAATTGGTTGGTGTGTAGCCTTGCTAAATTTGATTTAAAATACACTGTCTCTTGATTCAACATAAATCTGGCCACGTGGAGCCAACTTTTCGAAACAAGGATGGACTTAGGAGGAGAAGAAGACAATCAGGATGGAATGAGTGGAGTCTGGGGCATACTCTTTTTTTTAATACTCTAAACCTATGTTTCTATTAAATACATGTTTCTAATAATTTATTGATAAAATCAGTCTGATTAGTTAACAAGTTCCCCTGAACATCATAACAACAAGAACTGTTCTACTAATATGATATACCAGGTATGTATGCATGGAAGTAGAGGGATGGAAAATCAGATTGGGGTTGATAGAGACAAAATGGATTACATGAAATGGCTGAGTGGCAGTTGGAATACTGAACAGTCACTGAGTAGTTTTCACTGATAAGTGATGCTAATTTTCCCCCCTGATTTAGCACTCCTGGTACTTATCAGATATATTTCAATCCAGCTTAAAATGTTCATTAGAAAGGCAACTTTATTGCTATTGGCTCTTGTCAGATTTCCTTGTTTTAATGTGATAGGTAAAATCTGGTCAATGACTAAGAAAAAAATATGTCAGTGATATGGACTGGCAAGTACATCAAATTACTTCAAAACCAATTTTACTTGGGAAATCACATCCTTATTTTTAAATCATCAAGATACTTTGGAACAAATACAGTACCAATATATTGTAGAGCATTTGATGCATTGTATATAGTGGTATTTAAAGAATTTTTTTTGCAAGATATCATATAATAAGCTTTAATGCCTGTGCAACCCAAAGAATGGTGAAACAAGTATTATTTCTGTGTTTTCTAGAAAGATAGCCATGTTATTTGCTGGACTTCCTAATGAAATATACAAGAAGGCTGGATGAATTTTGTGTAAACTATCTTTTATCAAGTGTGAATGACAGTGATTGTGAAGTTTCATCAAATACTATAGCAAGTAAGGTCCAACAAGATATTTTTTTTATCAGTTGAATAGATAAGAAATAGATAAACATAAGAACAGGTTAACAAATTATTTAAAATTGAAAAAAATGGAGTGTTTATGTGCATGCTTATGTTTTTATAGTCCTGACCAAGAGCTGAAATTACTCAATCAGGTTGGAGAAAAGGAAATGGACTACCCTCAATTGTTGGCCCAACTAAATATCAATCAGTTTGGCACAGTTCATAGCAGAAAAAACAGCTTTGGTCTTCAGTTAAAATAGTTTTTGATCACCAATGAATGTAGTAACTCATTTCATTACAGTTCAACCACCTCATTTTCAGTTAGATATCTCAGAGCCAGCATTCTCCTTTGACTTTCTCAATGATCTTTCTTTGAAACCCAAAGAGGAAAAAGGGAAAATGAGGAATGACCCAAGTGGATGTTCTCCAGCTGAGTGTCCCCAAAATCAGTCTCTAAGATGAAAAGCTGAAACTTGAAATAAAATAAACAGACAATTCCACTCTGTTCACCAGTGTAATGGGTTCATACCATTTATCAATTACAGGAGTTAGTACTGTACTTCCCTATAGCCACATATGTTTGAAGAAAGCTTTGATGATCAACCTCAGAATAATGGGAATTTGGTTCAAGCCACAAAGTCCTGAGGGAAATGCAACTATTTTCCAACCAGGTACCTTGAATCCCATTAGAACTGATTTGCTAAGGAAAAGTAGGTTGACAGTTTCACAATGCAGGACAGTCTTGGCCCAGAAGGACTTTTTATTTATATCTATGATTTTGTGACAGAAATAGATATTATGGAGGAATGCCAAAGTCTCTTAATGTCACTCATGGCTGAATCATAGGTTTTGTCCTTCTGTTGTTGGGCCAGAATGAGCATGTGGTCCCATAGGTACACTTCTTCTATTTTAACAACACAACTAGAAATGGATCACTTTGAAAGACCCACAAATGTTTAGTTGGAGCAACAATTGAGGCTAGTCTACTTCCTTCTTTTCTTACTTTTTTTCCTGCCCTATAACTTAGAGTTGCCATAATTCATATACAATTTGATATGACATAGGCCTGGACATTAGGGACACTTGTCCCATCCCAGTAATGTATCATTCAGAGCAAATTATCCAATTTTTTTTTAAAAAACATGTGGTTTAGAGAAGGTTGAAGTGTAGTGAGAATTGGGTTCTACAAAAAGAAGAAACTAATACCTGAATGAGAGTGAGAATTGTTAAAGTGTTACCCAATTTTGTTTCCCAACTGCAAGAAACACACATTCACTATATTCTCATGGGTATCATTGCTCACAGCTACAAAATATTGAAGGCTAATTAGAACTAAGTTCTGCAACACACACATCTTTCATAGATCAAGGAGCATTAACAGCATTAAGCTATTTAAAATCAAAATCAATCCATAAAAGGAATGCCTCACAAACACCATTCCCAGACTCTTCTTTCATATGCACGGCACCAAAAACAGTGGGGCTGAGATATCTGCAGGCCATTTTTTATTTATTTATGTTTGCCTGCAGCGTTTAGTCTAATGAAAGCTAATGAAAGCGCCTAAGACCCATGAAAACAGGAGAGTAGTCACTGTGAAAGTCCTTTTTGCAACTCTCAAAGGCTACCTAGCTATTTCAGTTTATTTCAGAGGAGCAAGTAAATCCTAGAGCCTGGAGAAAAAAGTTCATTTAAAAACCAAATGTAAACATATTTTAAATTTGGTAATGAAAGTACCTTCCATTTCTTTCTCTATGTGTTTGTTAAACTCACATGCATAAATTTTTCCCCAGATTGAAATGGGTGTTTTTAACTATAAAAGTCCGTGTCCTCCCCCACCCCCCCAGTCAATCTCTTTCTTCCTCTGTTACGGGAAAAGTCATTTTTCTTGCTGAAGGGTGAAAGCTTACAATGCAGCAAAGCCAGCAAGCGACAGGAAGAGCCACCACTTTACAAAGAGAGGAAGCAAGGAGAATCTTCAAAAAGGTAGCCAGACACACATGCAGTTTTCAATTACTCTGCTTCAAGAGAAATGTTGAATATGATCTGTAATTTAGCATAAATCTTGGTCAAAATTAACCTCTTGAGCCATCGTGTCTGGAGGCTGATCCAAATAAATAAGTGGTTGGGTCTTGCTTGTTCGGGGTACAGTGAAAAGGCTGCTCAGCACTTGTTAACTGCTTGCCAACTTTTCTTGATTAAATTTGAGTCCAAATAATATACTCTCCCACCAGGTTAATAGACTGGGTTGCACCAGAATCACCCTAACTTCAATTATCTCCCTGTCTTAGTGCCACTTAAAACTGGCCTTCCAACAGAAAAATAATCACAGTAATGGAATACATGTTTTTCCACCCCAGGGATTCTGTCTGTCTGCTTAGGATTAGCCCTTGGCTCCTAATATAAATGTTTGAAATCCAGTAGTTTAGCAAAGATGGAAATCTGTGACCAAATCTCCCTTTCAAGTATTTTGTCCTATTTATGAAAAGTGAACTGGCAGCTCCAACTGCAGTGCGTTAATTACTATTGAAAGTTGTATTTATTTTATTTGCTTAAAACATTTATATAGCTACCCGTCTTCCAGCCAATTCTGGGCAGCTCCCTATCAAAAATTGCAGTTTAAGCGAGGTCTTCCCATACTGATATCCAGTATTTTCACTCTATCCAAGGAAAAACTAAATCAAGAAATGCAATATTATGATTATGGAGTTTTAGTGTCCCATGCAGTTTGATCCTTAAAGAAAGTCAAAACCAAAGTATTGTAAACAAATTTTGACTTATCTCTTTCCATCAGTAGCTATATCTCACATATTTTTCACAATCATTAGTCTAAAATTTTTAAATTTAAATTTTAAAATAAAAAAATCATTAATTATAATCTTTTATTCTTCATTTTGTCCTATTTTATCATTGTCATCTGGCCTCTGTTGTGAAATAATAAAATATGAGGTAAAATTGTGAAATAAGATTTGAGTTACCTGGGGATTTTAAACATACTTTCAAGAAAAAAGCTTTCTATATTTTTTCTTATTTTTCTAGAAATCAGGATTCTTTTTGAACCAGATTTCAAGATGATTAGGAAAGTATCCCATTAATATTGATTTGAGTGAATAAAAGAATGAATCTCATTCCTAATGAGTTTCCTAATCTCCTTTCCTTCTGTGAGCGTATATGTGCATTCTGAAAATGTTGGATGCTGCAAATTGAGAAGAATATTGTGCCCAGAAAGAAAAGACATCTCAAATAGGTTCTAATCATTCACAACAGCTCTACTGGAAGCAAAAACTCCTCTTGGAAGACGGATGGTTTTAATTTTGCTTCATAAAGAAGCAAACATATTTACCAGATGTAGTTCTCTTTTCCAAAGTTGCTTTTCAAACCTTTGGATAAATTACTGCCAAACTTCAAACCTGTCAACTATAATTATGGCTCCTGCAATGTCATTTTCCAATAGGAACAACTGGGGGTGGATGGGAAATGTAGGTGTGGACCATGAAGAACAGCACAGAAAATACAGTATTTTTAAAATATAGGAATGCATTTTGAGGAGTACGTTTTCCAAATAAAAGTACCTAGCAAACAGTTTTACAGGACAAAAGCTCACATGAATCCCTCTAATTCTATAAAATGCTAAATTCAGCACAATTGTGCCATATCTACAAGAAGTGGGGAATTGAAACAAAGCTCTATAATGATATTTGTCATGGATATTCTAGCTTCCTACTTTTCCTGCCAGCGGTGGATGGGACATCAGCCTTTTTTGTAAGAATATTTTAGCTCCACTTTTTGGCATTGAATACATTTGAAAGCAAATTCTGGAGGCAGCTCAAACCAAGGCAGATACATATTTGAGAAGAATGCACAAATTGGACATATGTCTGCTAAATATGGATTGCTATACACTTTATTAGGATTTACTCTCAGGTAAAGAGGCATACATCATGTGTATGTTATAATTTTCTTGTCTGAGTAGCTGCTTTTATTTAATTTTGTATCCTTGCCTTTGAATCTGAGAACTACAGAAATTTGGTTGGGAATTAGCTTGTTATCAGTTACTTTGGCTATCATTCGGAGTACCAATATATGTGTCTATGAGAAGTTAAGATTAGGGTACCTCTAGCAGAGGCATTTCATTTAACAGGAATATACAGCAGTTTGGAGTTAAAAGCAAAAAAGTACTTTGGACATATGGCACTTATCTGCAACCAGAGATGGTCCTGCCTGCTTTGGTACATTCCCTACTCTAGAAACCATCTCTGGATCCAGCAGCATTGGATAATGTTTGACCTGTATCCAACCTTGTCTTTTTGGAGATAAATTACAACTCTGTATGGTTCTGGAAGGTTATCTGGATCCTTTCCAGTTCATCTTTAGATTTGGGTAAACTATCATCATGACACTGATTACACTTGTGGGTGATGTCTGGTCATCTTGTGTGCCAATGGTCATTTATGCATCAGACAACTCGATCGAAAACTATTCTTGAAGACCACTCAGAAGCTAAAGCTGATCCAAAATGCAGTCAAGTGAGAATCATTTATGGATTTTTCTTAGGTCATTCATGTAACACTATTATTACTGCAATTTACACTGGTTGGTGGTTTGCTTCTAGGTGCACTTCAAGATGTTGATTGTCACTTTAGGATCTGGATCAGAGGTGGGTATTCAGCAAGTTCTGACCAGTTCTGGAGAACCAGTAGCCGAAATTTTGAGTAGTTTGGAGAACCGGCAAATACCACTTCTGACGGGAGATTTTACAGTAACCTTCCCCTGCCATGCCCACCAAGCCACGCCCACAGAACCAGTAATAAAAAAAATTGAATCCCACCACTGATCTAGATGCTTATAAGTCTATGCTTCTTTGATTATTTCTTCTACTCTGGTAAAATCTGTCAAGATTGGCTGCATCCTAGGCCTCTTGGTATGTCAGTTTCATCTGGCAAAGCTACATAAATAGGCCTTTTTTGTGGCAACACATGCTCACAGTAACATTATTCTCCCTGAAATCTACATAGTTCTAACTCAACTGTGTTTTTGTAGACTGTTGAAAAACTGACTTTTCCAAATAGGTAAGGAATTTTTTGGGGAGTGCTTTTGAAGGATGTCTGTATAATTTTGTCATGCAGTTTTCAGATATGAGCTTTAATAAATTATACGATTTTGGCTAATGTTGGTTTTTCTTTTGACTTCTTGCTTTACTTTAGTTGTTAATTAAAGTAAATTAATTGCTGTCTAGGGTTGCAACTGGTGATTGAGGAGGCCTGCAGAACCAATAAATAAATAAATCAAGTAATTTAACCAACGGCATCTTTCTTCAAGATTGGCATAGTTGCTTTATTGAGTTGCAGACAGCTTCTGATTCCTCCAGAATTTTTTAAAAATGTGATTCTGCAGTGTCCCTTTCATGGGACTAATCTGCCCCATTTGTTCCAGCAGAAAAGGCTTATTTCAGATCCCATCTGCCAAAGAATTTTGGCTGGTGTGGTCCAAGAGAATAAATTTTTCTGCCCTGGGCCTCTCCTTCTGGACTATTTTCCCCTAGAGGTGAGGCCCATCCCCACACTTATGGCCTTCTAGAAGAGCCTGAAAATTTGTCCCTGCTGCTTGGCCTGAAGCCAATAGTTGGGGGTGGCTGCCGGGGAAGATCTACACCCTCAGGCTGCCCACCATCTTGGTTTTTAGGTTTTTCTATTTAACTCTCCTAATTTTAATTGCCTTGTATTATGATTATTATTATTTTTACTTTCTATTATATTGTAGGCTGCCCAGAGACATTGTAATCAATGAAATGGGCACAATAAAAAAATTAATAAAAATTAATACATAAAGTTAAAGGTATTCCACAGAATAATAAGTGACGATGACTTCTTAGGAAAGCTTCTTCAGTGAGAACATATTTGAACCAAGTATGCATGTACATCTGAGACAGCAGATTTCATGTCTTTGAGAAAATCTGAGGTATATGGGTCTCATGTGGATTTTTGGTAGCCTTTCCTCAGTTACACAACGAATTTGACTCAGTATATTAGGTTACAGATGTAAAAAAAATCCACAAAGTAGTAAAACAGTAGCATTTCATTTCTATTCATTAATGTACATATCATAGACAAATATCCTGAATTGATTGTGGCTAATTGCTGGTGAATTCAAGGTAGATGTATTCATATGGCCAAGATAGATGTAAAAGAGAGGCAGTATATTAATTTGTATTAATATAACCCATGCCTGTATTACTCTGTGGGTTATATTAATACAAATATAGTGGAAATTCCATGCTACCATCCCTTTAGCTAAGGCATTTTCAATTATCATGTTACTCTGCAAGTCTCTCTCTATAGCAGGCTTACAACATAGGTTGGCAAACTTTCTCAGGCTATGGAAATTATTAGTTTAAAACACAATTCCCAGAACCCCTGATCTTTTCTGGTAGAAATGTTGACTGTTCAAATTGGGTCCAGGAGATCCCTTAGTTGAACCTAGACTTCTACAGAACATACAGAAAAATCCTGGCTGATAATACAATTTCAATTATAATGAAAAATCATAGTTTTGAGATAATGTACTTACCTGTAGTACAGTTTGGTCCAGCATAAGGCCGGTAGCAATCACATTGATAGTTCAGCCATAAGTTGTTGCAACGGCCCTTATTTTGACAAGGTTGGTACTCACACCAATCTTTTTTAACACAGCCTGATTTGATGTTTAAAAATGTGTCCGATGATAAGTTCTCTGGGATAATAATGCTGAAATCCACTTCTACATCCTGAAGGCAGCCTACAAATGAAGGTGCAGAATGCGTATTGTTGATATTTAGTAGAGAGCCATTGTTCCCTACCGGCAAGCCACCCAAAAATACGGTTTGAAAAGCAATCACTGCCTCCCTGCTATCTACTATGGCAGCAGTTTGACTAAGACATGATTCTGTGCAAGAGCTCTTGTGTAACTTCAGTGTTACTGCTCTGGCTATGATGACTTCCACTGAATGCCATTCACCATCATTGACATTATAGGCTATATGTAAAAAGACCTTCAGTTGATTGTTGACTTGCATGGATAAGTATAAACAGCCACTCTGTAGCTCCAGCTTCACGAATGTGTCTTTGTCCCCTCGGTAAAATATCAAAGTTGTTGGCTGAACAGTCAAAAAACTAAGGTTTATGTTATAAAAATAGTCCTTGGAGGAGGCTGCAACACTGTTTACCTGAAGATACCCATTTCCCTGAAAAGACAATGTTGTTGTGGTTTCACAGTGTACTCCTGTGTAGCCAGCTGAACATATGCAATTAAATCTATGTTGTCCATTTCTTAAATGAGGAATGCATAATCCCCCATTCTGACATATATGTTGAACACAGCCAAAGAGGATTTCTGTACAGTTCTGACCACCATAAAATATCCCATCTTTCTCTCCAGTGAGACAATGGCAGGTATAACCCCCAAAAGAATTTTCACAGGTCCCTCCATTCTGACAAGGGCTCATGTGACATTCATTGATGTCATCTTCACAGTGAATGCCTGCAAAAAGAACAAAAAGGAATTGGTTTGTTTATTTGACATGTTCAGTTTCTTGGTATAAATATCTTCAAATTACAAAGCAATATAATATATATCAATAATTTCATTATTCTGTGTATGATGAAAATGATACTTGAGGGCAAAATGTTAAAAGAAAAGAAACCTAGTGCTTTATCCTCAGCTGGAGCTTTAAGAAGAAAAGGGATCCCTTAGCTTTGCTGCTGCTTGCTGCTTGCTGCTAACCCTTGGCTTTGTCTGAAGTCATTAATACCAGTGTCTAAGAAACTGCAGCAATATAGAATAATTGCCTTTTGATTTTGAGCTCTTCTTTGATAATGGAATAGCTACATCCTCAAACAGAAAACAGAAAAGGAGTAATGGAGGCTTTATCTCAACTAGTGTAATTATTGGTTCCCATACTCCTCCAGTCTTGTTCAGCTTTTGATCTTTTGCATATAACACTTAGTCATAATCCAGCTCTCTATGACTTCAGGCCCAACTGCAATATATACAAAAGGATAGAAGGGACTAAAGACATTGGAGGGGAAAAGGTGGAGGCCATTGTGGAGACATCCAGTCTATTTAAATGGAAACAAAAAGCATTGATGTCCAGTTCAGTTTACATTAAATGTGATATTTCACATTGACGAGGAGGATTCAGATAGATCATCCTAGAAAGAATCAGGAATTATTCAGTAATCTTGCACGGGGGGGGGGGGGGGGATCCAACTTTAAGGGAAGAGTCAGAATCTGTAGTTAGTGGCTCAGATGGATGAAAAAGAGATGCCATGGTTTTGTTTAGCACCAATACAGGAAACAATAGAGGGGCTGGATCTCCCATCCAACAGTTATGACTTCTTAAAGGCATGGAGACATCTTGGGAGTTTTAAGATGCAATGAGAATAAAAGAAAGGCGTCCCTCACTTTTCCATTCTAGGAATGCTCTCCATGACAGCCAGCTGCTGTTTTCAAAGACCTTTGCCCCTCTGTGTAATTAACCGCTCTTTAGCCAGCACTAAATCTATTCTTCTTAATCTGTACTAAATTCCATCCTAGAGTTCATGAGTTTAACACAGCTACCAGAATTTCTGTCTTGTATGCTGACTCTTGCTTTCTTTCCTTTCAATATAACAGAGGTTTACATTAAGATCGCTCTTGTTTTCTGGTATCTTTTTTAACTGCAGATGCTGAGATTAGTGCTGTATCTTTTCTTGCAGGATAAACTAAATTCATGACTCTCAAATGACTCTCTCTCCACCTGTAGTTAGCCATGGATGTGCTAAACCATGGGTGACAAATTTGGGCATCACTTTATATTTTTTTCCTTTGTGGAGCTGGGGTGGGCATGCCCTGTGCGTGACGCATCTGGCCCATGGGCCACCAGCTTGACACCCCTGTGCTAAACAAATACTTCACCATCCAGCCATCTGCTTAAAGGACAACCTGTAAGCAAGTTGACAGTCATATGCTACAGTCAGGGACTTGATGTCAATGCAAAACCAGCCGTACAAAGTGACTTACAAATAAGTAGTTTCAGTTCACCTGGTCATGTCTATATTGGCGGTTTAATGCTCCCCACCTGCTCACATTCTATAAAATTATCTTAAGATTCATATAAGTTAGTGGGGATCTCTGCCTCTAGTAAAGTAAACTCATTCAGGGACTGTTTTATCAATTTTCTTACATCTGGCCTATAAGAAGCTGCACGAAAGAGCCAAGAAGTATCTCTGTGTTAGGAAGGAAACATTATTTATCTATTTTATAATCATTTTTCTGTGTGCAAATGACTTCCTCGCAAGACAGCAATGAAGGAAGCTGCATATTATTTGGTGTGTTTGAAAATATGTCTGATAGAAAACAGTTCTGGAACTTATTTGTAGAGTCAGTACATTTCCTTTCCACCTTTTAAATTAAGTGACACGCTTCTCAATTATGAGAAGTAATCAAACATGCTAATGCAGTAAAATATATTTGCTAAGACAGAGTTAATATATGAAGTATCAGTAAGGTTTGTTTGTTTCTTTTAAACAGCCTGCACATAAGAAAACGTTTTAAAAAAAAACCTTCTACTATCCCGGAACACAATAAGCACTTTATTGCCTCTGAGACAAATGAAGAAAATGTAAGAATATATGTATTGGCTCTGAATGAGTCTCACTTGGATCTTCAACATTCGTATTCTGGCATACAATGAAGGAAAGCTTATAGGAACCAATCCCGCTTAATACCGTTTGATACACCCCAGTATAGTCCCTCTATAGAATAATGCTTTATAGGCAGTCCTTAATTTATGACCACAAATGAAACCAGAATTTTCATTGCTCAGCAAGATGGTTAGAGTCATGGTTATTATTAAGGAAAATACTGCAGTTGTTAGGTAAATCATACAGCCATTAAGTGAATCCAGCTTTCCCTTATTGACGTTGCTGGAAGCCTGCTAGAAAGATTGCAAATAGTGATCACGTGACCCTGGCATGCTGCTGCAACCATTGTAAATGTGAACTGGCTGCCAAGCATCTGAATTTTGATTACATGACTCTGGGGATGTCCAAAGCTTTTTTTAAAAAAATTAATTTATAATATGAAATACAAAAGAAAATAATAGGAAAACAAGGGAAAGAGAAGGAAAGGGAAATGTGTAGGGAAAGGGGGAAAAAGAAAGAAAAGGCATAGATTTCTGATTCCCTTTGGTTCAGTAGAATAAGACAATAGCATCAAACCTCAACTTTTTACTTTTCCATAATAGTATAAACCCGCCATTCCTATAACAACAAACCTATCTAATCAGTAAAACCCAAAATCAAAGTTGGGGATGTGCAATGGTTGTAAGTCACTTTTTTCAGTACTGTTGTAACTTCAGAAGGTCACTAAATGAATGGTTGTAAACTGAGGACTACCTGAATGCCTTTGCTTTTGAATGTAAGGAAAGGTTGCAGTTCAGAGGTAGTATTCAGCAGGTTCTAATCAGTTCTGGAGAAGCAGAAATTTTGAGTTGTTCAGAATACCACCTCTGACTGGCCCCGCCTCCATCTATTCTCTACCTCCCAAGTCCCAGCTGATTAGCTGGGTCTTCTTTTGTTTCCCTGCACAGGAGAACAGAACTGGAAATCAAGTTAGTGGGGTGGGGAGGGAATGGGGATTTTGCAGTATCCTTCCCCTGCCGCGCCCATCAAGCCACGCCTACCAAGCCACACCCACAGAACTGGTAGTAAAAATTTTTGAACCCCACCACTGTTGCAGTTCAGTGGCAGACTGCATAATTAATATACAGATGTTCCCAAGTTCCAGCTCAAGCATTTTCAAGCATCAAACATCTGTCTGAAACCTGGGGAGCCACTTGAAGTCACTATAGAAATAATGAGCTCAGATGGTCTGATTTGCTGTGAGATTCCAGAACTCAGATTCCAGCTCAGATTTATCTGCTCAGGAGCAAAACACTGAAATTCTAAAATAAGCATGTTTATGATACACCTGACCAGGGATTAGAAGCTAAGCAAAATTAGACAGGATTTGAACTTGAATGGAGAAACACCAGACACCCAGAAAGCATCTGAAAAGAAGACAGTGGTGGTGAGGGTATGTATTGTTTCTTAGGAAATGACATAGATATGACTATGTAGTCACCAGGAGAATATTTTTTACAGTATTATATGCATACATACATATACAGACATGATGAGGACAGATGTATGAGTATTTGCAAATTAAATGAACAAACACTTTAAACTCAACAGGGCTCACAATGGCCATGAATATCCCAAATTTACAGAATTTTGAGGCACTGTGATAAGAAAATTGTTAATAGTTACAAAAACATCTATGTTTTTCATATTGAATGCCAAAATGGTCTCTGCTGTTCTTTTTTTTTTTTAATTTGCAGGGGAGAGATGCAATTGAACAGTTATATTAAAAGCCTAGATTTTTTCCAGTCTGTTTTATATATAACTCTGGTTTACATTCTGCTGTTGAAAATAGAGTACTAAAAGAACCAGACATTTGGCAATTTAATCTATAGTCTAGAGCAACTTAGAAATAAAGCAGCAGGATACAGCTGAGGTAAGGAAAAACACCAAGAGAGGGCAGGACATAAAATGGGACTCTATCGTTACAACATAACTCTCTTCTTTCTACTATCTATCTTGTCTAATCATCAGAACAAACCACAATAGGCATTACTGGTCTTTTCCCCATAGTTCTCCAGATAGTATCTCCCACTTTTTGTATGTAGATGCCCCGATGTTGTGTACAGAGAGAAGAAAGGAAGGTAGAGAAAAAGGGAGGCAGGGAAAGAAGATTTACTGAGGTTGCCTCCTCTTCCATGTTGAATTTAAAGTTTTGTAATTGGAGAAAATGGTGGCAACTCTAGCTTTAGACAGTTCCCTGCCTGTTCGTGCATTAGTTCTGCAATTCGCAATCCTAACATTATTTGAAATTCTTCCTTTTTTGCTTTCTTTTTGAAGAGAACAGCCTTGAAGGATAGGAAGTAGAACTGTTACCAAGGCAATGGTCAGGTAAGAGGAGCTTAAGCCTGGGCCAAGAAAACAACTTGAGAAACCTTCTCAGGCAAGCTCTTCCATAGTTCCCATGAAGATAAATGAAGGAAGCAGTGAGGGAGCCACATTCAGATTTGCAAAATTCTGCTGCTATGGCTGATATAATAAAAGTAGCCTTGACCTATTGACATCAATGTCTTAGCTTGGTTTACTTTGTAGGACTAAGACTCTTTTTGTGTTTTAATATTTTTATTGAGTTATAAAGTATTATAAAATACAAAATAAATAGAAAAGCAGTGCAGGGGGAAGGGGAAAGAGAAGTGAAGAAAGGTAAGAAGCATTGACTTTCGACTCTCTCTGTTACAGTAAAATAAGGCATTAACATCAAATCACAGCTTTTTGCTTTTCCATAATAGTATGAACAAGTCATTTCTATAAAGATCTATCAGCAAAACCCAAAGTCAGAGTTTCATTCTTTTCCACATCAAGCACGAAGTTCAGAAGCAG